ATTTTGCCCCCATGAATTTGTAGGAGTACAGGAAAGACCCATTTTACCCCTAAGAAATCGAATGAGGTCAGCAAATATCCGTTTTGCCCCAATGAAATCGTATTAGTTAACGAAAAACCCCTTTTGCCCCCATGAAATCCTAGGAGGTCAGAAAATACCCATTTTACCCCCATGAAAAGGTAGGAGTACAGAAAAAACCCATTTTGCCCCGATCAAATCGTAGGAGTACAGGTAAGACCCATTTTACTCCTAGGAAATCGAAGGAGGTTAGCAAATGTCCATTTAGCCCCTACGAAATCGTATAAGGCCACAGCATACCCATTTTGCCCCTACGAAATCGTCTAAGGGCCACAGAAATCCCATTTTGCGCCAATAAAATAGTATTAGTTCACGAAAAACCCGTTTTGCCCTCCTCAATTCGTAAAAGTTCACAGAATATCCATTTTGCCCCCATGAAATCGTATGAGGTCAGAAAATACCCATTTTACCCCCATGAACTCATCGTAGTATACGATAAATCCATTTTGCCCCCATGAAATCATAGGAGTACAGCAACGATCCATTTTACCCCTAAGAAATCGTATAATTCAATGTTCTCGAGATTTCTCCCTAGTTATTTTCAACTAAAGATTATCTTTAATTTATCTAGACAATTCCAACTTGAAAATCCTTCTTTACCCCGAAGAGCAATAGATCGTGGCGTCCCTACCAGATGGCGCCCGCTTCGCATTCTCATTTGACAATTTAGCTGTTTGACAATTTGTCCTAGCGTCTTTGGAGCTCATTCACTTCCCAGTGTTTTGATCTGCTTGGTTAGGTTTTGAGATAGCGACTGCAAGATCGACAGTGGCGGTGATGTTTCGACGGATGACGCCACATGAAAAAGTACAGAACCGCCCTTATGACGTCACGAGTGATTTCAGAGCATTTGAAAGATCCACTTTTTCAAAAATTCATAATTAATTCATGAACCCTTTTTTAGAAGTTTTTCCGTGAAAAACAGATTATCGGAACCGTATACTTTATTTTTAAAATTTTTTTAAAAATCATGCAAGTTCCCTATTCTCAATGTCAACAAAATTTCTACGTAGTTGACTCGCTGGATTTGAATCACATGTTTATTGGGAAGAACGGAAATTCCATGAGGAAATATATATTCAACCGTCAATCCAAACTGGATCAGGATTATTGAAATAAGAATTACGGATTGGTAATAGCTCTCTTAATGAATAATATAAATCACCTTCATTCACGTGACGTAACTCATCTTCCTGAATTCAACAAACGCCAATGATGAAATATCATCCAGATCACGATGAACGAGAATAATTAAAAAAAATTGGATTCGATAGATGGAATGAAGAAAATCATCGTAATAAAAAGATGAGAAGAATCATAAAATTATATACTAAGGATAACTTTTTCTACTCGCATTCAAAATTTTTTATATCGTTTTTCATTTCAGAATCCCTCAATACTATAGAAAACCTGATGAGTGACAACATATCACGTTATATACTTTCCCGATTTACTATAGACATTCAAAGTTACTAACAGCAAGATTACGAAGAAGATAAAAATGGAATAATAATGATCATAACAATACTATTATTTCGAATCTACACCTGTTCTCTTTTGTAATTTATGTCCGGGTTTTTTGGAGAGAACATGAGTTATGATCCCCAGATAACTGAAATCTCATTTTTTCGACTAATGATATTTCAGTTGCTCATAACAGGTTTTCGTGTATGCTCCATTGACATGCTAAATTTTTTAAATTATAAAATCCATGTTCATACCACCTATTTTTTCATTTAAAGTACGGTCAAAATAGTTCTGTGCTAAATTTGGACAAATTGATGAAATAATTTGGACAACTATCTCAACAATTCTTCTCAGTCTTCAATAAATAATTTTTTCTTTTGTTTATGGATACTTTAACCTTTAAAGTGCTAGGCACATCGGCACTTACCGTTTGTCTTTCGGGAGGGTTCGTTTAAGATTCATGGAAAGAAAACAGAATACAATTCCGATAAACCAGTTTAATAAGACTTTAACGCGTTGACTGCTCATTTATAATTTTCTTGATTTTACAAATTTGGATAGAGCTAATATGGAATATTAGAAAAGAGGAAGAGAGAAAATTCACTTTGATAGATTTTGTTTAGTTGAATTCTAGAGTGAACATTGAATCCAAAATTGATTGATGAAATTTCTAAAAACTAATGGTATATTCCAAAGTCTTTCTGGACAATAAAGTACTCGTTGAAATTAATGTTCTCTTTATATTAGTTCACTTATAATTTTAGTTTAACTGTTCATTGTAATAGTATGTGTTTATTATTTCACTGTGTCCGTTGCATAATCCACAACGCGTAATAGACAAATAAAAAAACTATGAAGGTGGGCGTATTTGTTTATATATTTGGGAGAACTTGGGGTATCTCGCATATGCCGGGCAGGATTTATAAACTGATTCCGGTGGTAAAGTGCACGAGTAGGGCCCAAGGAGCACGCTCCCATTGATCCGATCCTTATCGTCGGTGGGGCATAACTGAATATCATTTTAGAAGAATGAATTTAGGAGGCGAAAAGACAGTGAATTTGATGCAACGTCCGCGTTTTTGGCCATCTCCAAGGGAACTCGTGACGCGTTAGCCCGGTAAATTGAGCTGCTTCGGCAGCAACTCAATGTCCGGTGAGCAACGAACAGACGCAACTTATGATCGAATAAGATTGAAAAATATTCTTCGATTGAAATTAATTTTAATTAATTCCAAACATAACAGTCCCCCCCGTGAAGGGCGGGCAATAGTATTTGCTGGTCGTGGGTCTATTCGTTGTCCACTGTTTACAATTTGTTCAAGATAAATTTTAAAAGAGACTACTCAATGATTCTATCTAATGATGGAAAGAACATTATTTTCATTTTAAATCGAAATTCGTAACAAGAATTGAAAATTGAGAGAAGCTAGGTTGTTTTGGTTTATTTTAGGTAGTTACTATCCTGCCTAATATCTTCTCATGTTGAAGAATTTCTTTTTACTTCCAATCGCGACGAGGAACGATCGAGTTTCCCTCAGAAGTAACGTGAATTTTCACCGGTCTGGTGAACTTATTTTTATCAAAATTGGGGATCTGTAGTAGGTTATCACTAGTGGGACGATCATTCTGATAATCCTTCATATGAATATTGAATCCAATAGTTGTACATTCACGGTATCCGATAAATATCGCCCCTTTTTGGTTGGTGAGAATAAAAGAAATGACACCAAAAATTGGGTAATCGTCATCATTGACACGTAGTACAATTGCACAATCACGTTTAAAGGTAATTCCATTGAGTTTTAACCATGAGATCTCCGTTGCTTTACCTTCAATCTTTTGCATCATATTTCTATTTATACTAGACGTTTCGATTACTGGCCCAAGCTCAATAATATCTCTCAAACCACGGTTGGTCATAAAACGATCGCTCAATGCTAATTGATATTTGATTGCGACAGAGTGAATCACATTAATTCTACAAGTTATTGATTTAGGATATTTTTTTTATTTTTAATGAACTCTTTCAAATTTTGCACATGCCATGGCCTTCAGAGGACCCATACGTTTCGCTGTCGAAGAATAATGAGTCCATAGATGAAACTTTGGCTTCAAACTCTCACTAGTGAATTCTAAATAGAGTTTTTTGAAGGTTTTAATGAGGAGACCTAAATGAACAAGATCATCTTCTGACAAGACAGGGCTCATCATGAGATCCTCGATCTCGAAGAGCAAAAGATACAGTTCCCATCCAGGGTCATCCTCGGGTACAAGGTCGCCCATAATAATCCCAAAATATGAAATGAGTGCAGACATTTCAGCCGATGTAATGAGTAAATACCCTTTCTTGACTTGCTTTAGATTAATATAAGATATTTTATTCCCTCTGTCGCTCTTATCATAATCAAAAAATTTTAATCTATTATTGAGACGTTCGGATGTGAAATAGCCATTTTTAATACAGTGCTCAATAATTTTCGCCATAGCATATCGAGCAGCGCCAAGTCGGACATCGTGCATTTCGTCAACAGCCCCATTTGAAATACAATGAAAAAGTGGTATTTTGTTGAATACACATGGCTCTTTCACCCCATACGAACGAGAGTTAGAATCTTTTAAATAATTCTCCGCAGTGCGAAGGAGTTCTCCACTCTCCTCACACAAAGCCTGCGTCTGCGCTTTGCAAGCACGACAAAATCTACAAAAAAAATGAGCACTGAAACTTTCCATAAAACCAAACATCGCATTGATACCGAGATTGTCACCTAATATTTCCATCACTACGAAATAAATTCTTTTCACCTCCCCACTGACAACTATCGAAATTCCTTCTTCGTACAATTTCCTCAGCTCGTCAATCGACTTATAGAAACACTTCTCGTTTCTAAAAGATTTGTAATCAGAAGTGTAGACTAATTGTATTAAAAAAATGTTATCCATAGTTCCTGACTATTTTGGGGGTAAGCCAGTTAGCGTAAAATAAGTCGCACATATTTTATGCAATCCTGCTGATGAGGATAGAGGGTCCCCTGATTCATAATCATCAGTATAAAGGGTGAGAGGATATACCTCTCTACCACGAAAATGTTTAGAAATTTCTTTCCATCTTTCTCCGGAAAGCGGAGAGAGTATTGTGACTCTCATTGTTGATCTATCATGAAATTCTCGATTACATAAATTGCATTTTATCATGTGTTTAGAGATGGCTGACCTAGATGAGAATTTCTGGATACAGTCGTTGTGAATACAGTAATATTTATATTCTAAGGGATGATAAATTTTTATATGTTCTAAAAGCGTTCTTGTGGTAATTATCGAGGATTTTTGACAGATGTAACAGTTCATTTTACGCCGCGTTTACGTGGTTTTGAGGTTTGAACGAAATATGCTTTACTTTTCTTATTCTGGTGATTCTTTAATTTGTTAATAATATTATAAATATAAGGCATCTGCACATCGTACTCCGAGAAGATACCAAAAATTCCCCACTGAATAAAATACCAGATGTTCTGATTCTGGCGGGTAGGACAAATTGAATGTTAAAAACAGTTTAAATAGGATGTCCAAACCCTTGAGCAGAGTGGATGGATGGTAATTCGTTCGGTCCAATTCAACACTGATAGTGTCAATCGATTTCACGTCTTTACCAATGACAATCAAGTTAGGTTGGAGGGTGAAACCTACGTCTGCCTTCTTCTTCCTGATATTTGTCCTCACTTGGTCCAGGTCTCCTGGTAACTAGAATGACAAATTTCGTAATTAAAAAATGTGGAATATTCACCCATCCATTTATGTATAGGAAAATGCTAGCTCGTATTTTATAACTCAAAACTCATACCTTTACATGCAGACAAATACTGTCTCGTGCCTCCTCACACGATGGTTTCCAGAATGCCTTTTTTCCTCTTCCTTGAGATTTTATTTTGATTTTGTTGGATTTAGGAGCCAATAATGAACACAACAGTTTCAACTGTATCATTAAGCGTGTATCACCAGATAATTCGTTGGTGCCATTGGCCTCTAGTGAGTTCACATCAAGTTGGTCACCAACCTCTGTCAATTTATCACCATTCAACTCCAGAATTCCTTTAAAGCTGTTCTCCCATTTTAAGAGTAATGCATTGGATAAATTGGGATCATTCTCGCGACGAAATTTGCAGTCAAAGTCGCTCTCAATCAGGTCATAACTGGTAGACTCAGTTAGAATAGGCCATTGGGTGAGTACATCGTCAATGGTTTTGTATTTTTTATTCCCAATATCTTCTTGACGAAGAGAATAGGTCGCTCCTCAGTGCTGTGTCACCAATGTTTTATCTCTACAGTGCACCAGTAGAGCTTTGCTCATCTGGCGGGCGTCTCCATCGCAATCTACATTAGATGAAAATAGATGAAAATCAGCAAAACTAGGAAGGAAAGCCATGGAATTACCAATTTGTGATCTGAAAGAAGGAAAGTACCTGGAGGAATGTCAGTAGCTTCAGCACCTCGTTGCAAGAATTGTTTCTCAAGGTTGTTCGCTAGCCGAATGATTGCTAACCGATTGTGATATTTATCCACCAATTTTTCTTTGGAAGCAACGGATTTTGAGGTTCTACTTACTGCTTTGCGTGTTGGTGGTACATAGTAGGTTTGCACAATCTCTTTGGGAAACAGTGCCACAATTTTGTTTGTGAATGCCTCAAACTCTGGAGTTTTTCTGTAAAATCCGAAAGAAATATCATCAATATAAAGCAGGAGCTGATGACTTCAAAAAATGTGGGAAGAAGAATGAAAATTTGTCTAACAATAATACTCACAAATTGTCCTTGATATAATGCAGGGTGATTACTTTACATAAGACTGCCTGGCAAGTAGTTGATAACTCCTGCTTGTATTTATAAATCCTATACACAGCATCACCGTAAGGATGATTTCTCACTATTTTCTCAAAATCGTCATGATCAACTTTTGTTGAAGTGGTCTTTTTACGCTTGGACGAATACCCTGGGAGAGAATCTCCAGAATAATCTGCGATTTTCTCTGATCTGCTACAACTTTCCGTTAGTTGTTGTTCTATCTCCTTCTCAACGTCAACTTCAAGATCCTGATTTACCAAGGCATGACTCTCCAGAACATTCTCCAATACCTCACAATTTTCTACGTCAATATCATCCTCATTTCCATTTAATGTAGAGCTGGCAATTACTACTAATTCGTCTGGTAAAACTTGACCTTGAGCACCAGAAGAGAGAGGTTGATTGGACGTTTTGACAATCTTTCTTGTTTCAATCTGAAAGACAATTTATAGAAATTACTAACCTCAGTAAATACCACCAACTATAGCTCCATTTGCCCTCTGCCCCTCTCTCTGCCTCCCATTTCTCTCTCTCTCTCCAACCTCTCCCTATTAAAATAAAGACCGACACATTCCATTCTCATCATTAGACAACACAAGGAGTTGAAAAAAAAATTATCAATTGATTTTTGTTAAGGATAATGGTAGTGTGAACTAATTTAGCGAGATTAGGGCTGATAAATCACATTTGAAATCCCTGAAAGATGTTTTAAAAACTTGAAAATTTAAAAAATTATTGCGAGTTTACTCTATTGTTTCATCTCACTTCAATTAACTGATCTTCAACAAATCTACAAAATAATCTGGACAAATTTCCTGGACTTACCTCGTTAGACCAATTCGTTATTTTTGACGTGATAAAACTTCACGAGTCTATTCAGCTCATATTAATTGTTTAATTATTGTTGTAATTTTTTTTTGTTTTATTGATGCTTTTATAATTATTTGAAATATGATTAATTAATTGATTATCCAGAGAGTGAAGGATTTGATGAGAAATTGTAAAGATAACTTTTATCACATAGTTTTAAATCAAATAATAACTACATGGATAAACAATGATGTTCTAGTTCGTCACGTTTTATCACCTCAATGTCGAATTTGATAGAATCTTTTTTAATCGTGAAATGTGTACTGATATATTTTACTCTTATAAACCTACGTGTTCTTTGAATTTTTTTTGCAATAAGGCATAAGAATAGTTCAGGAACTTGTAGAAACAATTGAGACATCATTATTGATGGTTAGAGTTTGGGATATATTTTAATGAATAGGTTATTTTCCAACATGCACGTGACAGAAATTTAATCAAACAGTGGATCGATTCATTCGTCATTACTCATTCGTAATATATCAATGTACTTACCGTCCAATTTCTCGAAAACATCAATCAAATTCCACTCTTCAAATAAATTTTTCATTTTTTAATAATTAACGTGAATAATTTCAATAATAAATAATTTATCCGAAGTCAATCGGCGTCACTGTGACATATCAATATGGACCGGTGATCTAACCTTCAACTAGATGGCGCATTGCATTACCCTCGAGTCGGTAACTATTACCGAATACGCGGTTGGCGGAAGAGAAAAGTTGATTTGATACAACTGCGACGAGAATTGCCTTGTAGTTGGATGAAAGAAGATTGCTGGTTAAATGGAATGAATTGCCAGTTGCATGAACTGAATCAGTGAAAATAGGTTCAACTGAATTCATAAAGTAACATTAACAAATCCCTTCTATCAGTGCAGTGCGATTTGTAGTTCGAGTCGTTGAGAATTTTAAGGATGCCACACTTACAAATAATTATAACCAATACAGAATCGAAATTTCCAAAATGAAAATGGGATCAAATACATATGAAATTCATGAGAGCTTCTCATGGGTTATATTTTTCATTGCTGAAACTTGCTGGAGGATCAGAAAATTTTGGAGGAAAGAGTAAAGCTGAAATGTGGGAACGGAATATCAGACTTCATTGGTGGGCATGGATTAGGGTTTGGTATATGTTAGAATGACCAAAATGAAGTTTGAGAGAAAAGTCAACTCATTGAGCAATGCTTGTTGATGTCTACCAGTTTTGCTAGAGATAGCTCCCATACCGAAAGTGTATTTCTCCAGTTACTCAAGAATTTTGAGTTGAATGTAGGGCTTCCCCCCTGTTCAGAACTTCTGACAGGCTATAGTATAATACATCGTATTTGAGCAAAATAATACGATTCCAAGATTTATTTCATTTAAATTATTCAATCTCTGCTTTATTGCAGAAGACATTGCACGTATTTGCTGGTGACTTTTATAGTAGATGATGGTTTCTATGAGAATGATTATGAATATCGAATGTCACGTGGTGAAAATCTCCTGGCTTTCGCTTTTCGTTGTAAGTGATGTATCAATGGTAGGAGAACAGAGAGGGAGGAATTGGCGAAGGAGGAATTGTCATAGAAAGGGCAAGTGCAGGGAGTTTGTATTCAATATAATGCATTGAAATTTTCATAATGGAACATTTTCGTGTTCGGAATTTACACTCTACTCATTTAAATCGAAGATGGCGAATAATTCTCTCTCTCCTTTTCCTAGATTTTCCCTAAATTAGCTCTAAGCTAACGTGAATTATATTTCCCATAAAATGTAATTGAATTAATAAAAATTGGAATATATTCATGATGATAGAAAAAAAAGATAGAACTTGGAGAAAGTAACGATAATGCTAAGGTACAAATCTTGTAGTCTGTTGCTCGATGCTGATGGTCTAGGTGAGAGTCGATCAGTCCTGTTATGGGCGGCAGCTGGGTCCAGGATCTTCCAATGACGTTCCCCCTGGTACGGATTGGTTTGTAGGTGATTCTTCTTTGGCGGTTCCGGTCTTAATTCCAATAAGCAAGTTGGACCATGAGATTGGGGATTCTCCGGTTGATAGATTTGGATTCACCTCTGGCAGTTCTTCTTCATTTCACATGGTTATAGTGGTGTGTTATCTCTTGCCGATGTTGAATCACTTGGAGGAGATACTCAGTTCTCTACTGTATCAGATTTCACAGATGTTTTAAAGTTAGTAGTGGTGATTTCCAAGATGGTCAGACGATTATGGATGCAGCTGAATCGCGGGTTGACTGGCGTCAAATGTCCTCAGGAGTCGATGTCATCTTCGAGTTTCCGCTTCATTACTGAGTTACAGCCGAATTGTTCGATATGTATGATGATTGCAGTATTGGTTTATTCCAATTGTGATGAGAAGGTTCTCGCTCTCTGAATGTGATTATCTTGTGTTACATAATTCAACTTGGTTCTTTAACACTTATGAATCAGCGGTATAACAAAAACAAATGTTTATTGTCTTTTCAGTTCAAGTTGACCGCATTACTGGGAATCACTGGTAACTTATTTCGCTTCCACAGGGAACCAACTTTGGATAGAATTTCTTTTTGGTCTTATAGCAATGAGTTAAACTCATATACTGATATAATTAGAAATGAACTTGATTTCTTTTGGCCAATTATGAAGCATGAGAAAGGTTAGGAGTTGAAGTGAATAGAGATAATGTGGAATTAGAGATGACTTTGTGATTTCTTTTTGGTATTGTTACTCAAGCATTACCTTTATTTTCTTCCAATCAAGAGGTTGGTAGTCCAACTTTTCCAGAGTAATAGCCTAAAAGTTGAGAGATCAAAGAAGATAAAGATGTGTGATAATATTTGAAAAAGGGTTGCGTGAATGGCTGCATAAGAATAACGAGGACGCTGATCAGCATAAAGCTAAATGAATTATCTGAACCTGATCGTGACATTGTTTTTCCTTTCCTCTCGGGTAATTCGTGATAGATATAAAGGGCAAAGCTTTGCTAATTGGAGTGATGTTGCTGGGGAAGAGAATCATTACGTCTTCCCCCCTTGCCACTGTGATTATAGGATTTTTAGATGCTTTATCAATTGAGTTCTGTGCATAATTCAGGGATTCTACACGGTTATGGGATATGCCACGTAGAGGAAACTCATCGAGTGATGATTGATACTTGGAAGAGGAGATAATTTTGCTGATGTAAGATGTTCACAATCTGAGGAAATTTTGAGTGTAGCATTTTCTTGATACCACTGGAATCTTTTAATCATGAAGATTTCTGGGCCAATAACTGAATTTCGAGAAATAGTTGGAAGCATCATTTCATAATCACCGAGAAGAGTTTTGCGAAGATTCAATTGATGGCTCAACGTTTCGCATTCTGGACGAGTGATTGCTTCATCATTGAATGTAAGGAGATTCCATGAGGTTTTGCATCAAGCGTCGAAAAATTCAAACGGAATTCTCTCGATTAACTTGGTGAACTGTGGCAAGATCTGTAGTGACTTTGAGTAGGGTAATTGATCAGTAGTTTTGTCTTCCTTTTGATACATTCCATTATGGGTACTATTAGAGGGAAAACTCAAGATAGCTCCCCCTTGCAATTGCAGTGACAGAGTTTTGAATTGATTCGCAAACGGTTGAAGTTTGAATTTTAATTTGATCATCACAATGAATCACCGTTTGCAACAAAATTGATGAATTTAGGCTTAGTTCTACAATTAGTATATCGCATGACACGCTTCAGATGACTCCTCTTGCAGACCCTCAAATATTTGAGACGAAAGAAAGTTCATTTTTGCACACTTCGTTGATTCATAAACCTTTTTACTGAGCTCGAATAAAAAACGGATGCTGCTTAATGAAGAAAATTCTTCAGTGTTATCAGAAATTTGAGTGGGTAGTTCAACTGGCATTTTATATAGCTTTTCATTTCGAATCATAAGTTGATATTCGCCTGGTTTTGCGTTACCGGTTTCAGAATTGAAATCCGTCAGATAATTGCAAGCAATCGCTTGAAAATTTTTATTTTGACTATAGTAACCATTATAACGAGATTTTCTCGTTACGGGTTGAAATCCCCTTAAAAAGATAAGTGAACTCTCAAAATTGTTGAAGAGAGATAAGTAGTGACACCTAGAAGCGGCTGAAGAAAGCCGGGACTAGGTGAGATAAACCACAAACTAATGAAAGACCTAAGGCATAGTGGTTATGGGTGAAACCGCGACCCCTGGAGTTCTGGAGGGCGTTACAAGAGTATCGCCGTATTAGAATTCACCCAGCATGTGCTAGGGGAAATGGGGCCGACGTACAGGCCGTCCAACTGGGTGATTCTATAGGCTATGTCGGAGTAGGCTAGGGACCAACGGCCAGGTGAAAGGACTGGTACCTCCGTGATCCCGTCGGGTTGATTGGTGGTAAGTAAGATTCCGAGTTAGTCGAACGCGAGCGCTTGAACCGAGAGGTTGAAATAATCTCTCGGCGTGCTGGATGGTGGAATGGCTGAAGAAGCCAGGATAAGGAGTTTCGGACTCCACGTCGCCTCGGTGAATAACCGTTAGCGGCAAGCGTAAGAGGATGCTCCTGCATCCCCCACTAGTAAAAAAAGGAGTTATTTCGGTACACGAGGTGACGACTTTGTTGTTTCCGGCGTCACCCGGCTCGGCGAAACAAATGCCGAGCACATGGGACCGTGGGTCTGGAGTAGAGATCGTCCTCCTATCCGAAGCGGTAACTGGTGGCCGAGAGTGTGCGTGGTCGTGAAGTGGGTAACAGTGTTCCACTTTGGTCGGATCAGCCTCTCGGCGTCCCAGGCTCTGAGGAGTCCCGGCTGATTCGCATTTAGCTCTGAAAAACTCCACCGAGTCGAAAGACTCGGGAGGAGAATGAACACTGGCAGAGTCGAAAGATTCTCCAGGAGGTCATGAATTTCATTCATTATGGAGAGTTATGCCGCAAGGTATAATACACGGCTTGCAAAGGCTCGTGAGGATGTGGTGGTAATACTCCTGGTGGACCTCGCCCACTCTACCGTATCACGCTGATGTTAGCTAGGCAATCCATTGTCCAGCCAAAAAGTCCTCTGAGTGGATGAGTTTACCTCAGAGGCCGGTTTTCGTCGAACCTCCCGTGAAGGTTCGGCTGGCGCCCGACTATTGAGCGATAGAGACGGCTAAAAAGTAGTTTGGATTTTTCCTAGGTGAACAACCCGGGAAAATATCCTTACACCATATTCAAAAAGTAGAAGCAAATCTCGATTCTGCTCTTCGTCTTTGTGTTTCTGAATGGAGTGGAAAGTATTAATCATCTCTAAATGAGCATCGCGAAAAGATCTGATGTTTTGGGGATTATAACAGTGAGCATATTTTTCAGGGATGATTTTCCTTAGTTTTCCACGGGCACCGTGTTCTAGAATCTTTAGAACATGCACATATTCCCTTGAATTGAGACACTGAACATAGTATTCAGAGTGCCTCACTCATTCTTGTACTCGGAGGACAAAATCGGCAAAATTTTTCTTATGACAAGGAGGATGATATCCATCAACAGCGCGTAATCATGGGGGCTATATTTCTTCCCATATTTCCTGGATAAATCATCAAGGATATCGTAAACGGAATGGATAGATGATTGATTCAAGTAGGATGCAGCTG